GCATCACACTACTTGACTTGAAAATATACTATAAAGCTATAGTAACCAAAACAGCATGGTACTGGTATAAAAGCAGACACATAGGCCAATGCAACAGAACAGAGAATCCCCAAATGAACCCATATATTTACAGCCAACTGATTTTCAACAAAGATGACAAGAACATACATTGGGAAAGAACAACCTCTTCAAGAAATGATGCTGGGAAAACTGGATATTCTTATGCAAAAGAATGAAACTAGACTGCTATCTCTTGTCATATACAAAAATCAACTCAAAATGGATTAAGGACTTAAACATAAGACCCCAAACTATAAATCTACTAAAATAAATCACAGTGGAAATGCTTCAGGGCTTTAGTCTAGGCAAATATTTTATAGCCAACACTTTCAAAGCACAGACAACAAAACCAAAAACAGACAAATGAAACTACATTAAACTCAAAGCTTCTGCACAGCAAAAAATTCAACCAACAGAGCAAAGGGACAACCTGTAGAATGGAAGAAAATATTTGCAAACTATTTGTCCAACAAAGGATTAGCATCCAGAATATACAAGGAACTCATATAAGAGCAAAAGAAAAACCACAAAACAATAATCCTATTAAAAAGTAGACAAAGTATCTGAGTAGACATGTCTCAAAAGAAGACGTACAAATGAGCAATAGGTATATGAAATGATGCTCAACAACATTCATTATCAGGGAAATGCAAATCAAAACCATGATGTGGTATCATCTCACCTCAGAATGGCTATTAAAAAAAAAATAAATGCTGGTGAGGATGCAGACCAAAGGGAACTCTTATACACTGTTGGTGGGAATATTAATTAGTACAGTCATTATGGACAATAGAATGGAGGTTTCTTAGAAAACTAAAAACAGAACTACCATATGATCCAGGAATCCCACTACTGTGCATTTATCGAAAGGAAAATAAGGCCGGGCGCGGTGGCTCAAGCCTGTAATCCCAGCACTTTGGGAGGCCGAGGCGGGTGGATCACGAGGTCAGGAGATCGAGACCATCCTCCCTGCGTCACATGGAGACCCGTCTCTGTCTACTGCAAAAATACAACAAAAACACCTACAAGCGGAAGCTGGTGGCGGGTGCCTGTAGTCCCAGCTGCCTCGGAGGCCTGAGGCAGGAGAATAGGGTGAAGACCTGGGAGGCGGAGCTTGCAAGTGAGCCGGACCTCGCGCCACTGGCCCCACTCCAGCCTGGGTGGGCGACACAAGCGCGGAGACTGCGCGGCGGACAGAAAAAAAA